ACTCTACTAAAAATACAAAAAATAGCTGCACATGGTGGTGCATACCTGTAATCCCAACTACTCAAGTGGCTGAGGCACAAGACTAGTTTGAACTCAGGAGGTGGAGGTTGCAGTGAGCCGAGATCACTGCCACTGTACTCCAGTCTGAGCGGAAAGCAATACTGTCTCTCTGTCTTAAATAAAAAAAAAAAAAGACACTTTATTTTTCGGAGGTCGGGTCTTGCTTTGTTGCCCAGACTGGAGTGCAGTGGTGCAACCATAGCTCACTGCAGCCTGAAACTCCTGGGCTCAACTGATCTTCCGCCTCAGCCTTCCAAGTAACTAGGACAACAGGCACATGCCACCATGCCCAGCTAACGATTTTTTAAAAAATTATAAAAAATAGGCCAAGCGCAGTAGGCTCATGCCTATAATCCCAGCACTTTGGGAGGCCAAAGCAGGCGGATCACTTGAGGTCAGAAGTTCAAAACCAGCCTGACCAACATGATGAAACCCCGTCTCCACTAAAAATACAAAAATTAGCCGGACATGGTGGTGTGCACCTATAATAAAAAAAAAAAAATTAAAGTAAACATTTATCAAATTTAACCATAGAGGTACTCTCAATATACACGCAAAGGAAAAACCCAAGTATGACTATTTGGAATGCCAGAAGTAACAAAAAAAGTAAAAGACAAATTTGTCAAGAATTCTTACAAACAAAGAAGAAGGGTAAAAAGAGAACACCCTAATAGAAAATAGTTAAAAGGTATTTTATTGGCCTCGCATGGTGGCCCAAGCCCATAATCCCAGCACTTTGGGAGGCTGAGGCGGGTCAATTTCTTGAGGCCAGAAGTTTGAGACCAGACTGGCCAATGTGGTGAAACCCTGACTCTACTAAAAATACAAAAAATAGCTGCACATGGTGGTGCATACCTGTAATCCCAACTACTCAAGTGGCTGAGGCACAAGACTAGTTTGAACTCAGGAGGTGGAGGTTGCAGTGAGCCGAGATCACTGCCACTGTACTCCAGTCTGAGCGGAAAGCAATACTGTCTCTCTGTCTTAAATAAAAAAAAAAAAAAGACACTTTATTTTTCGGAGGTCGGGTCTTGCTTTGTTGCCCAGACTGGAGTGCAGTGGTGCAACCATAGCTCACTGCAGCCTGAAACTCCTGGGCTCAACTGATCTTCCGCCTCAGCCTTCCAAGTAACTAGGACAACAGGCACATGCCACCATGCCCAGCTAACGATTTTTTAAAAAATTATAAAAAATAGGCCAAGCGCAGTAGGCTCATGCCTATAATCCCAGCACTTTGGGAGGCCAAAGCAGGCGGATCACTTGAGGTCAGAAGTTCAAAACCAGCCTGACCAACATGATGAAACCCCGTCTCCACTAAAAATACAAAAATTAGCCGGACATGGTGGTGTGCACCTATAATCCCAGATACTTGGGAGGCTGAGGAATTGCGTGAACCTGGAAGGTGGAGGTTGCGGTGAGCTAAAATCACACCACTGCACTCTGCACTCCAGCCTGGGAGATAAGAATAAGACTCCATCTCAAAAAATAAATAAACAAACTACTTTAAACTAAAAAAAGTCCAACTTCATTTCATTATTAATCAAAGAAATACAATTTAAAGCAATGAGACAGCATTTTTCATCTAACAAACTGGCTTAGATTAGGAAAAAAACCAAGACTACCTAGTATTGACTTGAACACAGAGAACTAGCCATGCAGGTAAGATGTAAACTGACAATTACCAGTGTTTTTTTAAATGTGCATAATCCTTGAGCCAGTATGGCTCCTTCTAAGAATTTTACCTTGAAAAAAATCAATAATAAAAAAATAATAAAAATGTTTACTAAGATTTATATACAAGAATATTTGTCAAAGAATGACTACAGCTAAAAAAATTAGAAGGATCCTTCGTTTTAAAGAGGAGAATGAAAAAATTATTGATTACAAAACTTTTCTCCACAAAAATGCATCCTATGTTTAGCGGGGGAAAAGGAAGGAAATAAAATTGTTAGAAATGTACCACTGTGGTGGGGGATGTTTTTAAAGGTGAAGGCACCATGCTTGTGTGGAGGCAGGGGATATATGGAAAATCTCTGTACCTTCCACTCAATTTTGCTGTAAACCTAGAACTGTTGTAAAATATAAGGTCCACTAAAAAAATAAAAATTAATATGAGCATGAAGCAAAGTGTCAAAAGCTTTTAACCTTGATTACCTCAGAAGAGTAGGATTTGAGAGTTAGCAGGTTGTAGGAGAGATATAACCTTTTCTATATACATCTTAGTATTGTTCTAAGTATTAAACACAGAATGAGTAATTTCTAATTTTTCTCCCCACAATCATAAGGAAATTAATATAAAAAAAAGGAACATAAGACATTTTAAATGCAGAGGTACAGCTTTAAAAAAAAAAGAAAAAAAGCAGTTCAGAGAATTGCAGACAAAACCCACACCAAACAATATGATCTGAGGGATTCCTTAGCAAGAACATAAGTTTAAAGATAATTTCCTATGCAACCATTATTGATATTGTAAAGATTTAAAGGTTTTTTCTTTTTGACTTTAACTGAACAAAGAACTATTTGCAAATCAGGAAGCCTCCCCAGCCAGAGTATGCTCACAAAGACTCTCAAGTTTCTTCCCCCTGACCCCCCAAAACAGTATCTCGCTCTGTCATCCAGGCTTGAGTACAGTGGTATGATCACAGCCACTGCAGCCTCTACCTTCTGGGCTCCATCAATCCTCCCACCTCGGCTTCCCAGGTAGCTGGGACTACAGGCAAACCGCTAATACACTCAGCTAATTTTTAAAAATTTTTTGTAGAGATGGGGCCTCATCATGTTGCCCAGGCTGGTCTCTAACTCCTGGACTCAAGCCATCCTCCTGCCTCCGTACTGCAAAGGTACTGAGGATCACTTGAGGTTATTACGTTAACATAAACATAATACCTAAATTTGAAAAAAATGCTAAGAGGGGTTTGAAAACAGATACTATATTAAAATTACTGGCCAGGCACAGTGGGTCACACTTGTAATCCCAGCACTTTGGGAGGCTGAGGTGGGCAGATTACCTGAGGTCTGGAGTTCGAGACCAACCTGGCCAACATGGTGAAACTCGGTCTCTACTAAAAATACAAAAATTAGCCTGGTGTGGTGGCGTGCTCCTGTAGTCCCAGCTATTTGGCAGCTGAGGCAGCAGAATCATTTGAACCCAGGAGGCAGAGGCTACAGTGAGCCGAGACTGTTGTAGTGAGTCAGGATAGTGCCACTGCACTCCAGCCTGGCCAACAGAGTGAGACTCCAGCTCAAAAAAAAAAAAAAAAAAGATACTATATTAAAGTTACAATAGCTGAGAACTGACTGGGCAGAAAAAAACTACGAAGATCATCAAAAATATAGTGTTATTTAACAGGGAAGGTACTTTACCAAGGACTTTTATGTTACTTATGTGTCAGGCATTCTTCTAAGTACTTAACATTATATTCACTAATCCTCCAAACTACCTTATGAGGAGGGAACTACTATTATCCTCATTTTATATGGGACTAAGAAGCTAAAATTTTATATGAGACTATGAAACTAAAATTTTAAAAAGATTAAGTAACTCTAGTTTATAGTGTTACCTTTTGAAATGTTTGTACATCTTAAGTTTCACAACCTGGCTCCACCAGTATAAAACTGTATGCTATTATATGTTCATCTAAGAATCAAAGGCAAACCAAATGTTGAATATGTCCATATACTGAAATGAAATGTTCTTTCTGTATTTGTGTTGCGGTCCTACATTTTCTTTCAAGGAACTTGTTTTTGCAGTTTATAGCACAGGAATCATACCTCAATTTGATGACAGATTTTGGCCTCCAGGGCAGCCATCTTTTCATTATCACCATTTTCAGCCATTGTGGCTATCTGTAAAATTTCCCAAATTAGCATAAAGTTATTTTTTTATATAAAACTCAAGACTAGAAAGAGGATGTTTACAAAGTATTACTATCCCATTGTTTTCTTAAAAAATCAGGAATTTCTGTTTTCACAGGTTGTTTACTCAATTCTCAAATATCTCAACGAAGCAACACTTTGGAATAAGTGATGAAAAAATCTAAAAACTATAAAAAACCTCTCTCTCTTTCAGTAAATCACTACCCCATCTTCTATAACAAGAAACTGTTTATCTCACTTGGCTGGTCAAGAAAGCTTTAGGGGAAAAAACTCCAATCACTTACTAACCATTTCCAGCTTTAAACAGGTATCTGTCAGTATGTCACCATGGCTCGCTGTACATTTGTTTGGTTTGGTTCATTTTCTTTTTTCTTTTTTGGAGACGGAGTCTCGCTCTTGTTGCCCAGGCTGGAGTGCAATGGCGCGATCTCGACTCACTGCAATCTCCGCCTCAAGTGATTTTTTCGTCTTAGCCTCCTGAGTAGCTAGAATTACAGGCACCCGCCACCTCGCCTGACTAATTTTTGTATTTTTAAGTAGAGACGGGGTTTCACCATGTTGGTCAGGTTGCTCTTGAATTCCTGACCTCAGGCGATCCACCCGCCTCGGCTTCCCAAAGTGCTGGGTTTACAGGCGTGAGCCACCGCGCCCGGCCTTACTTCTTTTAAAATGCAGTCACAACTGACTTACCCAAACCTTGTATTATAACTTTTAAGGTGAAAAACGTTACAGTTCCTTAGATACTCTACGCTAAGGAACACACGAAAACAAAAATGGGAGAATGTGGTCACACTAGCGAAACATTAAACTGAGGGGTATGCCTACTAATTTACTAATACATTGGATAGCCAGTTTCCTGTTTCGTATTCCTGACATTAGCATTGCAGGAAAAAAAGGAGGCTGTGCTATTGGTTTGCTAGAAATTACAAACCAAGTCTTCTAATTACAAAGTACTTGCCTCTAGGACTCTACTAAGTCACCCAGTCATCCCAATTGTACAAAAGTTATGTGAACAAATTATCAAGAATATTGCCATTAGTTGACTCTAGTTATGAACTGATGTAGGTACACTTCTTGGAAACATCGCCTGACACACTGCAATTGCATTCGCTACCCTGGATACACATAGGAAGCACTTGCAACGGGGTACTGCGTGATCCACATCCCCCTAGAGAAATTATTCAATTTCATGCATTGTCTTGTCTATCACAATTTACACTCCTAAGTTACCACAGTGATCTAGAGGCCCCTACAAAGCAAACGATGAAATAAAAGAACTATTTAGAACTTGCAAAACCTATTTGGCCTAATTTTGGAAATGCGCTTCATCAGATAATTTTCCAGAATGCACGACTGTAAGTGAAATATTACCCACGTTTTCCCGTTTCACACCGAAACCTGATGTGAGCGATGAAGGCCCTAACAGTCCAAGAGTGACATTGGGGTACATCTGCGGCCCAAAGTTCTTTGGCCTCCAGTCAGTCCCATAGGCTCCACAGAACCCTCCGACGTTTACCCGTAACCACCTCCGCAGAAACTTACAGAGATGGCCAGAAGCCTTCGGTGAGACTAGAACGCGGTGGAGGTAAAAAAAAAAACGAAAAGACGCAGTGGGGATGGGGGCAGCCACAGTCCCGTCTCTCAGCAACCGCGGAACTGCCTGGGCACCAGCCACGTGCGGGGAACCCCAGGATCCCGCATTCCTCGCGGGGGCGGCCTCGCCGCCGCCCGCGCCCCCTCCGCTCCGCCGCCTCCGGCTGAGGCCCACGCGGCGCTCGGCCTGAACGTGAGGAAGGCGAGGGAAGCACGGACGCCGCCAGAAGCATTAAGGAACGGAAACGCGCAGTCGCGCACCAGCAAAGCGGGCCCTTATTGTAGCTTCTCATTAGCCACCAAGAATTGCTCACCTTTAAGGTTCCGGCCCACAGAGCCGCGCCACAGGCTCACACACAGCAACACCAACGACTCCACTTCCCAGCTCCGCCGGCCGGCCTAAAGCGCTCCAAGAAGATGGGGACCGTCCCAGCAGCCCTTGCGGGTGGGCGGGGCCAAGGACGAGCTGGAGCGGTCCCTGTGCTCTGAGCATGCGCGGCTGCCGGGGCCTCCCAGGGACCCTGGAGTCCCCGCCCTCAATCGCAAACAGATTGGGTTAAAAAGTACCGCAGGGTATAGGGGAATGGCTGCTAGTTTGTGTTAGTATGAACATTTATTTTTAAGTATTTCTGGACGGCGTCTGTACCCCAGCCCTTCCTTTGGCCCTCCATTCATATGAAGTGTTTTGGGTTTCTTTTCAGATCTTTTCCAAAGATGTGTGTGAATACACACACATATCGTGTTGTAGTAGTTCTCAAAAAAAAAAGGACAAGTGAAATTTAAAAAAAAAAAATCAAAGATCCATGTAATCTCAGTTTTGAAGACAGTACAGTACAGCGTGTAAAAACTGGGTGTCTGGAATCAGACTGCCTGCTTCAAATAATGGTCCTCCTCCTGCTGTGAAACTGTGATCTCGGGCAAGTTGTTCAACTTCTGTGTTCCTCAGGTATAAATAGGACCAATAATAAATACTACCTAGTTCATACAATTGCTGTAAGTATTCAACTTGATGCAATATTGTCAACCTAAAGGGAAAAACTGAGGCAAAATTGGTATAAGTAGACAGTTTATTTGAGCCAAGTTTGAGCACTGCCACGTGAGAGCATGGATTCAAATTGCTCTGAATATATGCTCTGATTAGCAGCCCTTACAAGTAGATTTTTAAAGAAAAAAGAAGAGGCAATTCCTAAGTTGTTTACCAATAATTTACATTACAATAACATAAGCTATTGATTGGCTATACATTGTTCTTTGTATCACAAATTCCAAGAACATGAAAATGGATGAAGCAGGTAGTAAGAAACATAGTGACGTTAAAGAATTGCCCCCCAAGCATGGTGATTAATATAGTTTGGTTCTCTGTCCCCACACAAATCTCATCTCAAATTGTAATCCGCGTAATCCCCAAGTGTGGAGGGGAGGAACCACACACATGGTGGGAGGTGATTGGATCATGGGAATTGTCAGGCCCCTGAGCCCAAGCCAAGCCGTCGCATCCCCTGTGACTTGCACGTATAGGCCCAGATGGCCTGAAGTAACTGAAGAATCACAAAAGAAGTGCAAATGCCCTGCCTCGCCTTAACAGATGACATTGCACCACAAAAGAAGTGAAAATGGTCGGTCCTTGCCTTAAGCGATGATATTATCTTGTGAAATTCCTTTTCCTGGCTCATCCTGGCTCAAAAAGCTCCCCCACTGAGCACCTTGTGACCCCCCCCCACTCCTGCCCGCCAGAGAACAACCCCCCTTTGACTGTAATTTTCCTTTACCTACCCAAATCCTATAAAACGGCCATACCCTTATCTCCCTTCGCTGACTCTCTTTGCGGACTCAGCCCGCCTGCACCCAGGTGAAATAAACAGCCATGTTGCTCACACAAAGCCTGTTTGGTGGTCTCTTCACACGGACCCACGTAACAGGGATGGTTTCCCCCATGCTGTTCTCTTGGTGGTTTTATAAGGCAGTTTTCCTTGCTCTTCCTTGCTCCCTCTCACCTGCCACTGTGTAAGACATGCCTCTTCCCCTTCCACCATGATTGTAAGTTTCCTGAGGTCTCACCAGACATGCGGAATTGTGAGTCAATTAAACCTCTTTTCTTTATGAATTAACCAGTCTTGGGTATGTCTTTATTGCAGTGTGAGACCTGACTAATACAGGGGTGTAGGGACATGACTGAAGTCCCAAACTCATCTCTCTCTGTGCCTGATAAATTCTGCATACCTCACATAGTTCAGACTGCTCTGGGCTCTTTTTCTTTTCTTAAGGTCAATGAGAAAAAACATATTTAACAGCGTTGTGCTCAGGTAGTTTAAATTCAAATTAATTAGATTATCTTTTATCCACTCAACGAATATTTAGTCTCTATTTTATGCCAGACACAATTGAAATCTTCATTCTTGTTTTGATCAAGTCAGTGAGAATACACGTATTTAACAGAACAAATAATATGAGTGTCAGGGTACTCTCATTCATCCATTCAGCAAACTATTTATTACATACCTGTTAATGTCCTGGTATGGAGGCTTAACACTGGGAATAGAAAGAAGAGCCAGACTCTGCCTAGAGACAGAGCTACCTAAACAAATATATCTGCTTCTTTATGCCCCACAACATCTAGGCAGAACTGCAGGTACAGCCTATTATCAGAAATCACACCTGCTAAAAACATTTATTTCATGTTCTCATCAGGTACCTGGTCCTTTGCTCTCCCTTTCTTGTCTTTTGTTTTGTTTTTCGTTTTCTTTCTTCTTCTTTTTTCTTTTTTTTTTAGACAGTCTCCCTCTGTCGCCGAGGCTGGAATGCAGTGGCACCACCTCGGCTCAGGGCAACCTCTGCCTCCCAGATTCAAGTGATTCTCCTGCCTCAGCCTCCTGAGTAGCTGGGATTACAGGTGCCTGCCACCACACCTGGCTAATTTTTTTATTTTTAGTAGATTCAGGGCTTCGCTATGTTGGCCAGGTTGGCAAGGTTGGTTTCAAATTCCTAGACTCAGGTGATCCACCCGCCTCAGCCTCCTGAAGTACTGGGATTACAGGCATGAGCCACCGCGTCTGACCCTTTTCTTATCTTTTCTTTTTCTCCCTCATTCCCTTCCAGAAGCTGAGCTCCCTGCAGACACATCCTTTAAGGAAAATGAATTCCTGGTGGCAGACCAGGAAGCTTCACGTTTCATTTACAGTACCTAGGAAAGGACTCTCTCTCATACTGGTATCCATCTCTTATAGCGTAACTTTGTAAGTCAGTGCGCTAAAAGACCATCTTTCTGGGTATACATTTAGTACAATTATTTTAGAGAACAAATTGATAATATCTACTAAAGTTTAAGATGTGCATAGCTGATGGTGCAGAAAGTCCACTCCAAAGAATATACTCCCAGCCTGGCCAACATGGTGAAACCCCGTCTCTACTAAAAATACAAAAATTAGCCAGGCGCGTGCCTGTAATTCCAGCTACTTGGGAGGCTGAAGCAGAAGAATCACTTGAACCTGGAAGGTGGAGGTTGCAGTGAGCTGAGATCGCGCCATTGCACTCCAGCCTGGGTGACGAGAGTAAGACTCCATCTCAAAAAAATAAAAATAAAAATAAAAATAATATACTCTAGAGCAATGCTCACATCTGTACACAAGAAAACATGTTCAAGAATATTCGGGCCGGGGCCGGGCGCGGTGGCTCAAGCCTGTAATCCCAGCACTTTGGGAGGCCGAGACGGGCGGATCACGAGGTCAGGAGATCAAGACCATCCTGGCTAACACGGTGAAACCCCGTCTCTACTACGAATACAAAAATTAGCCAGGTGTGGTGGTGCATGCCTGTAATTCCAGCTACTTGGGAGGCTGAGGCAGGAGAATGGCGTGAACCAGGGAGGCGGAGCTTGCAGTGAGTGGAAATAGTGCCACTGCACTCCAGCCTGGGTGACAGAGCGAGACTCCGTCTCAAACAAAACAAAACAAAAAATTTAAAATTAAATTCACTAAAAACAAATGAGACAAGTTAAGTTTGGTGGGCCAAATCAGGTTAGCCCTCAGTTTCAGGTTAAAATGCTTATTAGGCATCACGGTAAAGATGTCAAGTAGGCAGTTGGTATGAGTTTGGAGAAGTCAGGGTTAAAGATATCAATTTTGGAGCTATTAGTATATAGCAGACATTTTAAGTCATGTCATTATATGAGCTCTCCTAAAGAAAGTATAGATAACAAAGATGGGAGAATTCCAGACTGACCCTTCTAGCATTCCAGTTTTTTGGATAATGAATAAAAGAAGAGAAGCCTGTACAGCAGCTAGAATAAGCAGACCCTGAGAGATGCTATGAAAATATGGCACCATAGAAGCTAAAGAGGGGAATGTTTCAAGGAAGGAGTGACCAACTGAGTACATATAGCTAAGAAGATGCTATGGATTGTGCATGGGTCATGAGGATGGATCCCTGATGAATGGCTTGGTTCCATTCTTGCAGTAGCCAGTAAGTTTCCCTTCTGATTGGTTCTCAGAGGAATGGGTTAGTTCCCATGAGAATGGGTTGTTATGAAACAACGGATTTTTACACCAGGGTGCCCCTCAGATTTGGTCTTTCTTCACACATGCCTGCTTCTCTTTGACCTTTTCCACCATGTTTGACTCAGCAGAAAAGCCCTTACCAAAAGCCAAGAAGATGCTGGTGGGTGTCATGCTTCTTGTACAGCCTGCAGAATTGTGAGCCAAATAAACGTCTTTTTAAAAAAATTATCCAGCCTTGGGTATTCATTTACAGCCAACACAAAACAGACTAAGACAGAAGATTTGCAGGCTGACCTAAACCATTTTTGTCACTGTGGCAGATACTGTTACTTATCTCTTAATATTGGCTCTCTCCTTCCTATATAATAATAATAAAATCACCTGTGGCTTTCAACAAAATGCATGGCCAATCAGAAATAAAAACTACATTTTTCCAGCCTTCCTTGAAGCTTAGTAAGACCATGTCTGGCCTGTGAGACATGAGCGGAAGTGATGTGTGCAACTTGCAGGTCATTCTTAAATGGAATGAGTTTATTCTCTTACCTCCTTTTCTCTTTTCTTCAACTAGCTAGATGTGGAAGATGAGCAAAACTGGACCAAGCAAATGAAGGAAACACCATAGGTGTGGCAAAGCAGCAAGATAGAAGGAAGCCAAGTTCCAACATCCTGTAGTGCCATACCAACCCTGATGGCTTCATAGAATGGACTTATCATTTTAACCTGAACTTTAAATGCGAGGGTGAAAAATCCATGAAAAAGTATTCAAGGCAGATGATGACAATATTTTAGACTTTTGGTCAGGGCAAGTGAGAGAATTCATCACTAAGGGGCAGAAAACCCAACTAAATTGAAACTCCAGGCCAAGAGTACCACTCCGAAGGCTGCTAGGCTTGCTAAGTTTTTCTATTTGTGTGTGTGTGCGTGCAAGATGAATATCAGGTTGCCTAAAAGCCGGAAATCTAGGGTCTCCCTGAATTTTGGGAATGGGTTGTAGGACTACTTTTGTGTTTTCTTGCTAATAGATGTTTGAATGTGAATCTTGTCTAAAGAAAATTTCCTTCATTGTAATAAGTCATCTGAAAGTCAGGTTGTTAAGGGGAGACCTAGAGCCCACCCCTATGTCCCCTATGTCTAACAATTGGTGGCCTCCACTATCCCCTAAATTATCTAATAATTGTGAACAGCCAAATTTACTTGGGTCAGTTTGCTACATTTGGCAAGTGAACGAGGTCAGCATGCATGAAACCATAAGTAGATCTTCTATAGAAGACAATACATTGAAGTTGATAAAACAGCACAGATTCTTTACCAAGACTTCATGCAAAATAAAATAGCTGTGATAGATAAAGAGAAAAGAAGGGCCTTTGGGGACTAAACTTTTTTAAATTGAATTGTAACACACAAACTATAAGGTGCATGAATTTTAAGTGCTCAATGAAGTTTCACAAGTGAACACTACCTTGTAATTACCATCCAGATTGAGATATAGAACATTTCAGCACTCCAGAAAGTTCCTTTGTGCTCCTCTCCCAGTCAATATCCTCCTTAAAAGTAACTACCATTGATTAGCTTTGCCAGTTCTAGATCATGTAGTATGTATATATCTGGGTCTCAGTCAGTTTGGACAGCTATAACAAAATATCATAGACTGGGTGTCTTAAACAACAGAAATTTAGAAATTTATTGCTCACAGTTTTGGAGGCTGAGAAGTCCAAGATCAAGGTGCTGTTAGATCTGGTGTCTCATGATGGCCTGCTTCCTGGTTTGCAGATGGCCATCTTCTTCATGTATCCTTACAAGGTGAAAAGCAGAAAGGAAGTAAACTCTCCACTCTCTTCTTACAAGGCACTAAATCCCATTCATGAGGGTCCTACCACCATGATGTTATTACCTCCCAAAGGCCTCACTTCCTTATACCATCCCACTGGAGGTTAGGATGTCAACGTATGAATTTTGGGGAACTACAAACAGTTCACAACATGTGGTATATGCACATACCACAACTGATTTATCCATTCTTCTGTTTCTTTTCCTTTTTTTGAGACAGAGTCTCACTCTGTCGCCCAGGCTAGAGTGCAGTGGTACAATCTCGGCTCACTGCAACCTCTGCCCCCCAGGTTCAAGTGATTCTCATGCCTCAGCATCCCGAGTAACTGGGATTACTGGTGCCTGCCACCATGCCTGACTAATTTTTGTATGATTTTAAGTAGAGACAGGGTTTTGCCACGTTGGCCAGGCTGGTTTCAAACTTCTGACCTCAAGGGATCCACCCACCTTGGCCTCCCAAAGTGCTGGGATTACAGGTGTGAGCCAGGACGTCTGGCCCATTCTTCTGTTTCTGACCATTTGGTTGTTTCTAGTTTTTTGCTGTTATGAATAAAGCTATTCCGAACATTCTTACACATGTCTTCTGCACTCATTTCTGTTAGGTGTATGCCTAAGAATGAAATTATGGGTCACAGGGCAGGCATGTGTTTAGCTCTAATATGTACCGCTAAACAGCTTTCCAAAGTGGTCATACCATTTTTCACTCACACCGGCAATGTAGTCGCTAAACATTCTGGACAATGCACTATCATGTTTTAAAGCCAGGTATTATTTTTTATTTTAATTTTAATTTATACCTATATAGGGAGTACCAGTGCAGATTTCTTAACATGCACATATTACGTAGTGGTGGAGTCTGGGCTTTTAGTGCACCCATCACCTAAATAGTGAACACTGTACCCAATAAGCAATTTTTCAGCCCTCACCCCTGCTCTCACCCTCCCACCTTTTGTAATCTCCAATGTCCATTATTCCACTCTAAGCCACATATAATATTAATATTAAAAGCTCATGCTTACAGTAAGTAAACTACGTAGTGAAGAGACTTCAAAATAAAGTTGGTAAATAAAAAGGCACACTTGAAAAGTTTCAGAAAGAATAGAACAATTCTTGTTTTGTTTCTGGTGTAGGAGGAAAGGGAAACAGACACATTAAAATTATTCTTTCAGATGAAGGCTGCTGACAGTTGAAATAGTTAATTAACTTTGGCTTCTTTTCTCCCTAATCCAAAGCAGTCTTTTCTTTCATTGGCTTCTGAAAAGTTATTTAGTCTTCTGCCTACATGTAGAGGCAACACAGGAAGGCTTTTGCCAGTGCTGAGATGGCTGGGATCACTCAACCGGTCCACTAACTGGAATTAAAGTCAACAGTAGTAATAAGGGTTTCCAATGGTGCATGCCAGTAGTCCCAACCACTCGGGGGCATCCCTTGAGCTCAGGAGTTGGAAACCAGCCTGGACAACATGAGATAAACCATCTCTTGAGGGGGGAAAAAAAAGGCCAGGTGCAGTAGCTCGCACTTGTAATCCTAGAACTTTGGGAGGCCAAGGTGGGCAGATCACGAGGTCAGGAGTTCGAGACCAGTCTGACCAACATGGTGAAACCCAATTGCTACTAAAAATACAAAAATTAGCCAGGCATGGTGGTGCGCACCTGTAATCCCAGCTACTCGGGAGGCTGAGGCAGGGGAATCCCTTGAACCTGGGAGGTGGAGGTTGCAGTGAGCCCAGATGGTGCCATTGTGCTCCAGCCTGGGCGACAGAGTGACTTCATCTAAAAATAAAAAATAAAAAATAATTCTGAAGTCTTGGTTAACTTTATGTGTCATCTGGATAAAACCCCAGTGATTTATGATTTGGACAATTCTCTGGCATCTGTAGAGTGCCTGGCATCCTCAAAGTTTTCAGTAGCATCTCTCCAACTTACTCCCTTAAGACTTCTTTCCCACCAGAATGATCTGCCAGGAATTTGGTCAAATCGTACACCCATGTGCTTTAGATATGACTGTGCTTTGAATCTCCTCTAGGGCGCAGGGCGCAGCACTTCAGGGCCTTGTCCCACTGCTGGGCCATCTCGGTGGGCTGCGAGCCGGTCCCAGCACACTCAGCGGTGCCTTGCCAGCAGCGCGCGCCTCTCTTCCAGCTCCGCCGGGGACATTCCCCGCCCGCACCAGGGACCCCTGCCAGAGGCGGGGCAGCCGGTCTGTCATTGTTTTTAATTTTGGCCACATGGTGGTGTGGTGATATCTCATTGCGCCTTTAATTTGCATTTCCTTGATTTACAATGTTAAGCACCTTTTCAGATGCTCATTTGCCATTTGACGTCCTCCTTTGTGCAGGGCCTTGCCCATTTAAAGATTGTGAGAGTTGGCCAGAAGCGGTGGCTCACGACTGTAATCCCAGCACTTTGGGAGGTTAGGAGTTCGAGACTCAGTCCGGGCAACATAGTGAGATCCAGACCTTGAATCTACAAAAAATAATTTAAAAATTAGCCGGATGTGTCTCTTAAAAAAAAAAAAAAAGTGTGCGTTTCTTAAAATTGATTTTTACCAATTTTATCAATTAGGATTTTTATAAATTAGGATTCTTCCAATTTTATCAATTAGGATTACCAATTTTATCAATTCTTCCAATTTTATCAATTAGGATTCTTTAAATGAATCTGGATACAAAGGTTACGTCAGATGCAGGAATTGTGGATTTCTTCCCCCCAGTATATGGCTTTCACTCTCCTATTGGTGTCTTTGGATAATTAATGCTTTTTATGTTGCGTTTAAAAAATCATTGCCTAATCCAAATGCACAGAGATATTCTCCTCTAATTTCTTTTAGAATCTGTATTGTTTTATTTTCACATTTAGTTCTATGATTCATGTTAAATTAATTTTGGGGCATAATATAAGGCAGATGGCAAAGTTCCTTTTTTTCTATATGGATGAACAATAATTGCTCCAGCAACATTTGTTGAAAAGATTGTTACCACGTCTAATTCTAATTCTAGAATGGTTATCCAAATTTTTAAAAAGACTTTTTTTTTTTTTTTTTTTGAAACAAGGTCTAGCTCTGTTGCCCAGGTTGGAGTGCAGTGGTATGATCATGACTCCCTGCAGCCTGGAACTCCTGGGCTCAGGGTGATCCTCCCATCTTAGCCTCCAGAGTAGCTGGGACTACAAGGCACACGCTACCACACACACCTGGCTAATTTTTAAATTCTTTTGTAGAGACAGGGTCTCACTATGTTGCTCAGGCTGGTCATGAACTGCTGGCTTCCCACCGTGGCCTTCCAAAGTGCTGGGATTACAGGTGTGAGCTACTGTGCCCTGCCTAGAATGAGATTTTTTAAAGAAATGAAAATAGCCCCATAAAAAAATCCAAGTATTAAGCAGATAGAAGATAATTCTCCTTTGATCATATCCACCTTAGGGGTAGGAAGACTATGCTGATCCCTTGAAAATAAAGACAGTAATTAAAAATGATTTTAGAGGAAGTTAAATGTACAGTGAAATTACTGCCTATATAAGGCTGATGTTACAAACTGTATCAGAGTCCCAGCAAGATTTTTTTTTTTTTTTTTTTTTTGAGATGGGGTCTCAAACTCCTGGGCTCTATGGATCCTCCCTCCTCAGCCTCCTGACTATCTGGGATTACAGGTATGTGCTACCATGACCGTCTGGCAGCAGGAAAATGTAATAAACTACTTTTTACAAAGGTGTGGGAAGGGCATAAGTAAATTCTGAGGCATAGTGCGATACCCCAAGGTTAGTAATATTGAGGGCTCCATTACCACCCCAAGGGGAGGGTGGCAGAGCGAAAGGAGGAGCTAGTCTCTTGGGAGAAAGAGGATGGTAAGGAGAGGCCCCTGAGGATGCATCCAAGCCATGCCAACCCTGCAGGAATGGAGCCAGGGGAATGAAGGCTGGAGTGAATGCTCCCCTCCCCCACTCTGTTGTTAGTGCTCTCCTCTGCGTAGATCAGTCTCCTGGTGGAGAAGGAACTGGTGGAGAATGTATCTGGAGAGGAAGAAGAAGATGTAGCACACAAAACACAGGAAAACACTTAGTCCAAGAGGAGGAAGAGTGGATCTGTGTTACGTACTCAAGATCAGAGGTGGGTTTGCATGAAGCCAATAAGGTTTAAGCTTCAGGATCCCTCAATTATATTGGCCCTTTCCAAGGACCTGGGAGGGATCCTAATAATGTGTTCACAAGGTCATATAGTTTTGTTAAATTTGTAAAAGATATTTTAACAAAAATCATCAAACTGTTGTTCTTTCCATTTCAAATCTCCCTCCATTCCACTTCCCCAGCATTTCATGGTACTGAAGTGGCACAAGTGTTTTGAGTTTCTGTCTAAAAAGAAGTTGAATTGAGAATAAGCCACTATAAATGTAATTTGAGCAGACATTTTTAAACATTTTAATAAGACATGAAGAAGTTACAGTTCCTAGTTTATTAAAGAACTGAAAAAACTGAGATAAAATAATAGAATATGTAGCTAAAGTCATAAACATGAGTAACAAAATCAGTGGAGATTATTCTGTATTCAAGAAGCAAATTATAAGAAAGAAGTTTTCGGCCGGGTGCAGTGGCTCAGAGCTGTAACGCCAGGCACTTTGGGAGGCGAGACGGGTGGATTCCAACGGTCAGGAGAATCGAGGACGCATCCGGGCAAACACGGTGAAACCCGTCTCACTAAAAAAATGACAAAAACTATGGCGGCGTCCGGGTACGGGCCGCCTGATTATCCCAGCTACTACTCCGGAGCTGAGGCAGGAGACATGGTAGTAACCCGGGGGGCGGAGCTTGGCAGTGAGTAAGGATCCGGCCACTGCACTGCCAGGCCCTGCGGCAAACGCCAGAGGCGAGACTCCGTCCCAAAAAATATTATGGGACTGTTTCTGGCAGTTTCAAATCATACCAATATCAGTGATTCATTAAGAATACATTTCAAAAAAGAAA